GGATAACTTTGAGTCATTTGTCAGTAAATGGATGCAACTAGAGAACATAATGTTCTCTTAAGTGAAATAAACCAGATCAGCATGTGCAAACATCATATTTTCTCCTGAGTGTGAGAACCTAAAAGAGAAAAGTAGAATCTGAAGGGTACCATACATACTGGGAAAAGGGAATGAGCTTATTCAAAAGGAAAGAGTTACTGAGTTGAGGAGAAGAATGGGAGAGGGACTGGGGGAAAGATATTTATCTGTGTGTGTAAGCAGGATGGTTTGGACAATGGTTTTGTGCATTTCTGTTGGTCTATGGAAAGAAGCAGTTAATGCTTTAATTTGCTTTGTCTCTCTTTTTCAATTGTACTTTTTCTCTTCTTAATTTCCTACATGTTTCTTTCTTATTTTCTTTCCTTCAATTTTACATGTATGTATCTGGTAATATGAATAACTGGTTGAAAGACAACACTATGTATTACAACAAATACTTTAAGTGAAATTTTGTATTACTTGTAATTTTTTCTGGTTTAATTCTAATTTTTACTCTTTTAAAAAATTAAATTAATTTTAAAAATAATATTAAAAAATTTAAAAGATTTTTTAAAAAATTTAAAAAAGATCCAAGATTAAGAATCTGGGATAACCCAATTTCCAGGCCCCCTTCTCAGACAGAAGATTTCTTTCCATTTTTCTTTCTTTTTTTTTTTTTTTTTGGATTTTACGAATAGGTCTACAGAGTGTTCAGGGTCTCATTACTAGATTGTACTGGTAGTGATCCACCTGCTTACAGCCTCCCAAGAGCTGGAATTACAGGCACGTGACACCACACCCAGTCTCAGAAGATTTCTTTATCTCACTAAATGCTTCTTGTTCTTAACTTCTGTTGTTCCCAGAATTCATTAATTCATTCTTCAATTTTAGAGAATATGAGCTTGTTGTTCTGGATGTCTAGCAGATTAGGAGTTTCATTCTCCTGTATCATTTGCAGGTCTTCCACCAAGATAACTCAATGGAGGGGCTGGCGAAATAGCTCAGTGGTCTAAAGAACCTGCTTAGGCAAGCTTAGGCAAGCACACAGGGACCACGGTTCGATCCCCAGCACCACATGCCATGCCAGCCCTGCCTCCAGAGTGGGATGAGCTGGCCACAAAAAAAAAAAAAAAAAAGATAACTCAATGGAGGTAAAAGTTAGCTTTTGTTTCATAGATCCTGGATTGTGACTTACTTCAATCATCGAAGTAACATCTTTGACAGTTGCTAATAATTTTTTTAGTCATGGTTTGCTTCTTATATAATTTTATTAAAATAGTGACAAATTTAAGTTGAAAACATGGGAAAGTTATAAGGCTATAATGCTTCCTTAAATGGGCCATTTTTTTTCTATTTTGTATATGGTACATGCTAATATTCCTTGTTTTACCTGTTTGACTTGTCTGCTGTGGTTTATTATCTTATACAGCAGCACTAGGGAAACTTAATACCAAAGCAGCCCCTGATGGGCTTTGCTATAAAATACTACAAGATGACCTATGAGTTCTAGCTCATACTTAGAAATATACATGTCTATATAATAAAACACAGGACACCTTCCACCAATTAAAAAACACTAGATCAACTGGCTCTTCTTAAGACCTAGAAGACAAGTTTCACTGGATCAGAACAGCTCTGATCCTCCACTACACTCTAGAGTGGAAATGCTGAGTCTGTTCTGCTTCAGTTTCCTTTTTGGTCTGATTTTCCACTGATGAGGAGGCAATCTTAGCTCTTGAGATTCCTTGTTCTTACCTTTCCATGCTGAGAATGATATCTGAGGGGTAAATCCTCTATAACTCACTATGAGCATGAGAGGAGAAGACTTCTTTTCTCTGGCCTTACTTCTACACTTTTCCTACCACACTATCCTTTCCTTTCTGGACACATGTAAGATTAGAGAGAAGAGAACGTTAAATAGTTCTAACCCTTTCTTCTTATCCAACAACTAAGTGAAGCTCATAGCAATGAGTGTTTGCTAATTCTGAAGACAGAGAAGTCATCTTAGATGGGGAACATATATATACCCTATCTCTGGGTCAGATGGGACAACAGAATTTTGATCATCCAGGAGAAAACCTGTAAAAACCATGTCTGACTTAGTGTTCTTGGCAAGTGCTATGGTTTGTGTCTAGTTGTCCCACCAAAGCCTCATATAGTCATGGGTCGGGGACTTGTAGAGTTTGTGATTAACTCATGATCCACTAGGATTATGGCTGATCCAAGGCTGGGATTATGGGTTTTAGTACTGTTGGAATTATGAATGTGAGCACTTGACCCAGACTCAGGGGGATAGCCTGAATGCAATTCAAGAGAGACAGACTTCCTCTCTGTTGTCATTGTTGCTGCTACTCCTCTACTTGCTCTCTTGCTGTTTGCCACCACCATTGAAGGTTGCCCTCTGCCATGTGCTGCTCTGCCTTGGAGCCAGTCTACCATGGACTAAAACCTCCAGTAACTGTGAGCTAAATAAACCTTTCCTTCCCTTCCTTCATTTTTGTGTTGGGTATTTGTCCCAGCAATGAGAGAAAAGAAACTGAGACAGCAAGTCTTTCACAGGAAGTTGAACCTGAGATTCAGTGGCAAGAACCAACTTCTAGGTGAAGCCAGAAAGAGCTATTTCCAAAACCTCACACTTATGGAACCAAAATACATTTACACAAAGGGAGGATCTCTAGCCTTTACTCTTACCCTCCTAGGTCTAGTTATCATTTATGTTTATAGGAGAAAATAATTTGATAATAAGTTTGGGACTTTAAAACCATTACTGAAAACTTACATAATGAGTCAGGTAATGATTTTTCTCAGGCTTTCAGCTGTCCCTTATAGAACTTAGACAAACAGTGGTTACTTTTCCAGCTAGTTAAAAATGCCCTTAGAGCAGCTGCCATTCTTAAAACAGAGGACAGATTTTCCCAGCACTTTTTGGTGCATCCCCATTGAAGCCAATGACCAATGGAATGTTGACCAAACAGACATCTGGATTCCTTTCTGAAGACCAATCTCTGGTTTCATGGACCAATAGAAGCTGAGGACAACTGAGTTGCAATGGCCAGTGCTGCCCTCTGGCAGATACCCAGAGGTTCCTCAGTGGAAACAGGCTCCTGACCACAGAAAAATCTCCACCTAGCTGTCATCTTTTTCTCTCTTTACTATTAAGTGAGAAACCCTAATTTTTCTTCAACTTGTTGGGAGTTAACTTTATTTTTTTCCAGAATTTTATTGAGAAACAAATAGCAATGAGACAGTTTCAAATCCAATTAGTAGGACAGTTTCAATAATTAATACATTGCATATTGTTGTCTCAGTGGTTATTCATTGTGCAAGATTCAGACCTGATATCCTGTCTTGAGCACTATTAGAACAAACCTCTCTCTTCATTGAATTAAGAGAATGGAGATGTATATCTATCCTAACTATTTTGAATATACAGATACAAAATGGTCGTTCATTTGTATCCCCCTTTTTTTGTTTAGTTTTGTCATTTAAATATTATAGGTGTGTGAATTCAGCAAAATATTCCAAAATAGTCCAGTAGTCCATAATAGTAGTGAGTTTTCCATAAGACTGGCAATGTCAGAAGAGAGTTAACTTTAAAGTAATCTTGTCCTCAGACTACCCCTCCCTCCAGAAATCAGGTTGAGACAGCTTGCAACAACACTTTGCCTTTCATGGAGGAAAACAACCATCAGGGGACTGATTTACATTTGTGGCTTACATATGCTAACTAAGAGCAAGAAAGAGATTCTAGTCAGCCTTTTCTTTCATGTGTGCATAGAAGACTAATATATGTGCCTTTACTAACATATCAAATGTGACTGCCAGATGATAAGTTTAACCTGTGAGCTTAAGAGATGTAAGAATTTTTTAAATTGACTTAAAGGCTAGAAAAGTTTTCCTAGGTGATTAAGTAAGGAATAAAGGTGCCTTGGAAGCTTCTTTCTGCTGAAATCCTCCAAGCCCTTTGTCTGCTTTGGTCTATAAATATGATTTCCTTCATAGATAAAGATAAAAGGTGTTTTCCTTTGATCTGTTTGCCTCACCCTCTTTCAAAGAACTAGAAATCAGTGAGTTCAGACAAAGAAATGCTTCCTCCTTTCAACATTACTATCACAGTTGAGACCAAATGTGACTTGTGCTTATAAGTTTTCTACAAGAGTGACTGTACAATCTCCCTTAGAAGATGACATTGTGCACCAGTTTGAGCATCAATAAGCTTTTGGATTTTATTTTCTGCTCTCTCTGCAGAAGGCATCCACCTGCCCTAGAGTGGAGTCTACTTGAAGGATGCCAAAGGGTATAGAAATCAAACAGAAATTAAAAATGATACCCAGTTCATTCGACTTCATTTGCTGGGAAGCTCAACTTCAATCTCTTGCTACTTTGGAATGCATTCTTAGGCACTGGAAGATGTTCAACCCTGGTGTGTGGAAAAAGAGCCATTTGACATTTTTCCTCACATGCACATAACACTTGACCCAAAATTGAATGCAGAAGAAAGTATTAATTATGATGGTATTGTACAACTAGAATCACACCATAAAAAAGACAGAAAATGGTCATAATTGCTCTATGTTCAAACTTTCTTTATATTAAGAAATAATTGTTGACTTCCCAGGGCCCGCTGGGTCCTCATTCGACCCAGAGCCCAGGCCCAGCATGGAACCCTGTAGTAGAATTCCCCGCAAAGAGGCTAGAGGCAAGTCCCACCCAGCTGATACAGGAGCAGAACATCTTGCGAGAGTGGCATAGAGGATTCAACTCCAAGGGCTGCAGGAGGAAGAAGTAGAGCACAGCAACCAGACACAAGTCACACCACTTGGATGGGTTTGAACTTGATAGATCCAGACCTGATATTAAGGTAATAACTCTACCTAAGCTCTACACCAAAGGTCAGAAGATAGTGCCATACAAAATGACAAAGATAAGGAACAAAATGCAGTCTCAGGCTCCAAGTCCACTCAGAACAAATGCAGGAGCGCAGAGCTCGGGCGGCTGGTGGGCGCTGTCATGGCGGGCGCGCTGAAGAAGACCACTGGCCTCATGGGGTTGGCCGTGTGCGAGACGCCGCACGAGAGGCTAAGAATATTGTACACAAAGATTCTTGATGTTCTTGATCAAATTCCTAAAAGTGCTGCATATAGAAAATACACAGAACAAATTACAAATGAGAGGCTGGCTATAGTGAAAGCGGAACCAGATGTTAAAAAATTAGAAGACCGACTTCAGCTTGGCCAAGTAGAAGAGGTGATTCTTCAGGCTGAAAGTGAACTAAGTCTGGCAAGGAAAATGATGCAGTGGAAACCATGGGAGCCGCTAGTGGAGGAGCCTCCTGCCAACCAGTGGAAGCAGCCAATATAATTGTCATTTACTGCCTTTGATGGTTGATGGGAATGTGATAGAATTAAATGTTGTTATATCAAAATGTTTCTGTTATTTCTTATCAAAAAAGGATAGAGGATAACAGGATATGTAGGAGTCTTGCTAAGCTTAGTAATACAGTTGTATGGATCGGTTTCTGGCTTGCATGCACTCAAAAGTATTTCTTTGAACAAAGAGGTTGTGGGAAGGCTTGAAAGTTAATTAGGAAGTTCCCACAGATTATCACTAGAGGCTACAATCAAAAGGTGAAGTATCTTCATTAATATCTTCAACGTATTATTTCTTTATCATAAAAAAAGAAAAGATACTTTTGTCTAAACAAACTTACTGGTCACTGTTTAAAGTACAGCAGTAACAAATATGTTGAAATATGAGAAAAATGGCAGAAATAGTTCGTGTTAAAATTTAAATTATAGTTAAACTCGGCTATGATCTGAAATATGAAATAGAATTTAAATATATATTGGGTTTCAAATTCACTGTACACATATCTTTAGTCTACATTTGGATTATTCTGTTTGGGCATATGTGTGTGTGTGTGTTTTGCTGTCTTATGGCAGTTATTCAGAAGAAGATAATTATTTTTCCTAGTATATTTCTCATCTCACAGATGTATAATTTAAGTGTGGCATAGATATTAAGTAGATGGGTTGACTTCTTAGCCAGATTGCAAGAGCTCATTTTTGATAGGAAGTAGGAGATGTGTTGGAGTCAGAAGCCTGGGATTCTTACTCTGTGATTTTAACCCCATTAATGAATTTAGTCATGCAATGGGAGCAAGTTGTTGGGCTCTTGGGTGGCCTAGTCCTCCTTTTTAAAACAAGTAGAACTTA